GTTAAAAGCAAACACCCCGGTCGTAAAGCAAATGCCGTAGCCATAAAGCAAACCCATTGTTCATTGTGGGCCATTTTTGTTGAAAATCAGAAGTAAATACCTTTTTTTTTTTTTGACAAAAGTCAGGAAAAAGCAGTCATGTGACCCACAAGATGTTGCAAACCCCCATAAATTTGAGCTAATGGCCAAGTGTCTGACAGGTTACATGACCGGGGCTGCAACCATTGGAATTTCAGAATTTTGCAATCAATATCTTTTGCGGGGAGAGATTGTCGTAATGGTGCTAAGCAAATTGAGGACTACCTGTAATGGTTAAAAACAATGTATTTCAACCTTGGCAGGTTTAAGAAGGGTGGACTTCCAACTCCCAGAATTCCCCAGCCAGCATAGCTACCTGTAACTCAAGGTGGCAAGTATGTCTGTCTGGGGGAATTTGGGGAGTTGAAGTCCACCCGTCTTAAAAGTTGCCAAGGTTGAAAAAAATCTTGGCTTAGAAAGTCCAATGAAACACAGCACTGAAATGCTGACATTTCTACTTTACTGATGATTACTTTTGAGGATAAACCTGCAGTAAGCAGAATAAGGTTTCTTTCATTTATGTGGTATGGGAACCATCTAATCGTTTTTACCATGGCTTAGCCCAGGCTTGTCCAACCCGCGGGCCGCATGCGGCCCAGGTCGCCTCATAATGCAGCCCAGTGCCCACCCCAACCTTTGTGCCAGAGTCAGTGAGGAGGAGGAGGAGAGGCAGGCATGAGGCGGGGCGGGGCCAGGCCAAGCAGCAACAGAAAAGGCGGGCGCCGTCAGAGCGCCACCTCCTGTTGCCGCCGCTGCCACCGCCACCACTTCTGTCCCCACTGCCACTTCTGCCCCCCCCCCCGCTGCCGCTTCTGCACCCGCCGCTGCCGCCGCTTCGGCCCCCACCACTGCCGCCGCTTCTGCCACCGCCACCGCCGCCGCTGCTGCCCCCGCTGCCGCTTCTGCCCCCGCCGTCAAAAAACGTGATAAAAACATGATAAAAAATAAATATTTTTAATAAATAATTAATAATAAATAATAAAAACATCTCACTAACTTAATTTCCAAATAAATTTAATATGTTAACTATGTTTTCTATGGTTTTTTTGGATGATCAGGTATCGTTACTGTTATTTTACTTTGTGCGGCCCAAACCAAATTTTCATCTTCTAATGTGGCCCAGGGAAGGTGAAAGGTTGGACACCGCTGGCTTAGCCTATGATGTGGGTTAGAACAGGACGCACAAAGTGGTTATGCAATTGGGGAATTAAACACACGAGATTTTATAAGACAAATATTGTGCAAGGTCTAAATTCAGAGGTTTTCCTTTGCAAAGCAATTCTTGCATGCTAACATTTTTTTTTCTTTCTTTCCTTTTCCTTTTTTCTTTTCTACTTATTGCAGCTGGCTCTACGGGACGCCCTTTTGAGGCAGAAGAAAAGATTGATGAAATAACCACAGCACAGCAGAGGAGTGTCGGAAATGACGGTTTGAAAAGTAAAAACTAAGAGGACTGGAGAAAAGACAACTGAAAATGATGAACTGTAACCATAAACCGATTTCATTCACAGGATAATTTACAAAGATACTTCTATCCATTACACGCAGAGGAAAAATATGAATGGCATTCAGCTATTTTTCTCAGCTCATGACAGCCTTCGAAGATTCGTTTCAAATATTCAGAGAAAAAAAAATGAGTACGATTATTTGTGATTTGTGTTTTGGCATTTATAATCCAATCCGAGTAGTGCGTTAGCTTAGAGGTGGAGTTCTCGCCTCACAATCAGGAGGCTGTGAGTTCGAATCCTAGGGAGAGGCAGATTTGTCTCTCTCTGGGCACAACGAGAATATATCTGCTGAATATAACTCCGCATTGGTGACAGGAAGGGCATCCGGCCAGTAAACACTCAGCTCCATTCACTTGTCCAGACTCCACAGAGCAAGGGATTATGGGGGCGTTAAAAGAAGAAGAAGAAAATTAGGATGATGGTTTATAGTCCAATCCAAATCCTACAAACTGCAAAGGGATTGTTACTCAAGGAAATAAGTGCCGCAGAACCGCACCAGCCAACAAATTTATATACTCGGGAAAAGAACGTAGCTTGTACGTGACTGTAAAATATGGTTTTAAATATATATGAAAAAATATATATATATATATATATATATATATATATATATTGCCTCCTCATTTATTGACTAAACCATAACATGAATTGGACTGGCTGACCTCACCCAAGAACATTTTCACAGAAATGGTGGGAAGGGATTATAGAGATCATCTATCCCAGGGGTGTCAAACTTGAGGCATGCGGCCATATCCGCCATGTGGGGTGGATATCTAATATCCTCCCAACCTGTCCATGGGGTTAGAGAACTGGAGATTCACCTTCATTAAATCATGAGGATTATATACTGAAATTCATTAGTGAGTAAATGCAGGAAGTGTAAACTCCAAATGGCCAGCCACTGCCGTAGTTCCCATGGAATTAACAAAAAAAATGTTGCTTAAAATATGACACAGTTGTAGTTAGTGGTGGCAGGGTTTGATGACAACTTGTTTAGATCACATTGCACTTTCTTGTACTAAATATAGGGGTAAGGACACACACTTTTTTAAAAAAAGTATTCATAGAATAGAACAGAATAGAATAGAATTCTTTATTGGCCAAGTGTGATTGGACACACAAGGAATTTGTCTTGGTGCAGATGCTCTCAGTGTACATAAAAGAAAAGACACATTCATCAAGAGTCAAGAATCATCAGGTACAACACTTAATGATAGTCATAGGGTACAATAAACAATCGAATCATACTGGGAAACAGTCAATATAGATTGTTAGGATACAAGCAACAAAGTTACAGTCCTACAATCACAAGTGGGAGGGGATGAGTGATAAGGAGTGATGAGAAGATTAACAGCAATAGTAGTGCAGACTTTGTAAATAGTTGGACAGTGTTGAGGGAATTATTTGTTTAGCAGAGTGATGGCGTTAGGGAAAAAACTGTCCTTGTGTCTAGTTGTTCTAGTGTGCAATGCTCTATAGTAGTGGCCCCCAACCTTTTTTGTGCCACGGCCCGGTACCGGCATCACAAAATGATCCGCGGACCGGTACCGGCATCAGCACGCATGGCAAGGCAAGCCGAGCGACCGGCCAGCCAGCTGTCCCCCGCTTCTCCCCGCCACCTTCAAGTCCTCCTTTGTACCTTTGTTGATCGGCTTCGGGACACTCACTCGGCTCGCCTTGCCATGCATGCTGAAAGAATCCTCGCGCCTTAGTTTCGTTCGAAGCCGCCCCCCCCCTTCGATGAAACTAAGGCGCGAGGATTCTTTCAGGACCCAAACGCCACTTTCCAACCGGAAAAGCTCACCGGAAGCACTTTCGCATCAAAACAAGATGGCGGCGCCCAGCAAACCAGCGGCCTGGTAGAAAATGTTCCGCGGACCGGTACCGGTCCGGGGCCCGGTGGTTGGGGACCCCTGCTCTATAGCATCATTTTGAGGGAAGGAGTTGAAACAGTTTATGTCCGGGATGTGAGGGGTCTGTAGATATTTTCACAGCCCTCTTTTTGACTCATGCAGGATACAGGTCCTCGATTGAAGGCAAATTATGTCAAATTGCACAGGTAGTCCTTGACTTACGACCACAATCGAGCCCAACATTTCTGTTGCCAACTGACACATTTGTTAGGTGGGTTTTTGCCTCATTTACCACCTTTCTTCCCACCGTTGTTAAGTGAATCAATGCAGTTGTTAAAAGGAGTCAGACTGTGAATCTGGCTCCCCCACTGACTTCGCTCCTCAGAAGGTCGCCAAAGGGGGATCCCAGGAAACACTGCAACCGTCATAAATATGAACCGGTTGCCAAGCGTCTGAATTTTGATCCCACAACCACAGGGATACCGCCAAAGTAAAACTGGTCATAAGAGACTCTTTTCAGCACCATGGTCACTCGGAACCTTCACTAAATGAACTGTTGTAAGTCGAGGACCGTCTGCACAGGGTCTCCTGCTTGAGCAAAGGGAGGTTGGACTAGAAGACCTCCCAAGGTCTCATCCAGCTCTATTCTGAATAAAGTCGGGGGTGTCCCAACTCTGGAGGCTTTTAAAAAGAGACTCGGAGCGAACTGTTTCAGAATGCAGTTTTAGAATGTACCAAGCAGAATCTGAACGGAAGTTATGTATTATATTAAGTGTTATAAATTTAGGGGAAAGAGATAAAGGTGTCATACTCCAATCAGTGATTACAGGAGAAATTTTGTGTTAATGAGAAAAGATAATAGACAGCTGGAAACAGGACAGACAAAGAATATAAGTGTAATGATCTGAACTGAGATGAAACAAAATAGAAGAGGGGAGAAGCTATATAGAAAATGTAGAATGGTAATAAGATACGGAATGGTATATAAAAATGAGCATGAACTTGAATTTGTGTCTGTAGGAAGAGATGTAACCCGGGATCAAGCTGCTTTCAAAAAAGATGTTTTATGTTTTATGTTTTGTTCGTTTATGTTTGTTTTTAAAAATCAATAAAAAAAATTTTTTTTTAAAAAAGAGACTCGGAAGGAACTGTTGTAAGCCGAGGACTGTCTGTACTTGCTCAAGCGGAGACCCAGTCTAGTCCCATTTCAGACAAGCGGTGGTCCAGTCTCTTCTTGAAAACCTTCCCTCCTGCTTGAGCAAAGGGGAGGGGTGGGGGTTGGACTAGAAGACCTCCCAAGGTCCCATCCAGCTCTACCCCCGATTGAGCGTCTCGCGTGGCGCCAGGCTTTCCGCCTTTTGAAGCGAGCGCTTCGCCCGCGGAACTCCTGGACGGATCCTGCTTTGGCAAAAGCTCCCGGGAGGGGGACGTGGTGGTGGTGGGGGATCCGCTTGGCCAGCTGCACCCAGACTGGAGCGCAACTCCCGGGCAGGGCAAGGCCAGGAAGGGGGCGGCGTTGGAGAAGCGGCGGGGCAGCCAATCCCGGAGCGGCGGGGCCGGCCGTGGAAAGGCCGAGCGGCCACCCGCGGCTGCTGCCCCGCCGCGTTCTTGCAAACCGCCGCCGCCGCTTCTTCTTCCATGGCCGGGCCGGTGCGCGAGGGCTCCGGCTCGTTCCCGGCGCTCCTTCTGGGGTTGCTTCTGCTGGCTTTGCCCCGCGGCGGGGCCGATCTCCTCCGCTCTCCCGCGGCCCCGATGCGCTTCAACGTCAGCCTGGACAGCCCTCCCGAGAGTCGGTGGGACCCGGTCGCCCGGCACTTCGACCCGGCGTTCATGCGGACCGTCCTCAACCACATCGTCGAGTGAGCGCTGGAGGACGCTGCGCGGCTGGACGCGGCTTTCGAGGAGGAGGAGGAGGAGGAGGAGGAGGAGTGGGGCGCGCTGGCTGGCTGGCAACGGCCTCCAGCGGAGAAAGGGAAAGTGGGAGAAAGTTGGATCGGGACTTTCCTGGATCCTCCAGAAATTGACAGCGGAGCCGGGCACCTGGCACTCTCTCTCTGTCTCCCTCTCTCTCTGTGTGTGTGTCTTTCTCTGTCTTTCTCTCTCTCTGTGTCTGTCTCTCTGTCTCTGTGTGCCTTTCTCTGTCTTTCTTTCTCTGTCTTTCTCTCTCTGTGTGTGTGTCTTTCTCTCTCTATCTGTCTCTGTGTGTCTTTCTCTCTCTCTCTCTGAGTGTGTGTGTCTTTCTCTCTCTCTCTCTCTCTCTCTGTGAGTGTGTGTGTGTCTTTCTCTCTCTGTCTCTGTCCCTGTCTCTCTCTGTGTGTGTGTGTGTAGCTCTGGCTCTTTCTGTGTGTGTGTGTGTGTGTGTGTGTTTCTAACTGTGTGTGTGTGTCTGTCTCTGTCTCTTTCTCTATGTGTATGTGTGTGTCTGTCTCTAACTCCCTGTGTGTGTGTGTGTGTGTGTGTGTGTCTAACTCTCTCTCTCTCTCTCTGTCTGTCTCTCTCTCTCTAACTCTGTGTGTGTGTGTGTGTATGTGTGTCTAACTTTCTCTCTCTGTGTGTGTGTCTGTCTCTCTCTAACTCTGTGTGTGTGTGTTTGTCTCTAACTCTGTCTCTGTGTGTGTGTGTCTCTCTCTCTATCTCCGTCTCTCTCTGTCTCTCTCTTTTTTTCTCCCTCTCTCTGCATTTGCTTCTGGGTGTTTGTATCCTGGCTTGCTGGCTGGCTTGCTAAGGGACGGGACACTCTTCCTTGCCTTCAGAAGGAGGAGGAGGAGGAGGAGAGAATTAAGGGAAAACTTCCAGTAAAGTGAGAACCATTGTGTATAGGGTTTCCTGCCTAAGCAGGGGGTTGGACTAGAAGACCTCCAAGGCCCCTTCCAACTCTGTTATTCAAATTCTAATCAGTGGGACAGCTTGTCTTCAGAAGTTGTGGGTGCTCCAAACACTGGAAGGTTTTCAAGACGAGACTGGACAACCACTTGTCTGAAATGGGACTAGAGGGTCTCCGGCTTGAGCAAGGGGTTGGACTAGAAGACCTTCGAGGTCCCTTCCAGCTCTATTCTGAATAAAGTTGGTGGTGCCCCAACACTGGAAGCTTTCAAGAAGAGACTGGATGGCCACGTGTCTGAAATAGTATGGGGTCTCTTGCTCCAGCAAGGGGTTGGACTAGATGGCCTCCAAGGCCCCTTCCAATTCTGGTATTCTATGTTAGATTCTTCCCAACGGAGAAAAACTGCAAACCAGGAACATCATTCCTTCCTTCTACCCTCCCTGTTGGTTTTTTTAAAAAATTATTTGTTTGTTCTTTCAGACTGAACTTCTCAAACTGGAGCCAAGTACACTTGAGTTGGAACAAAGCGCATATTTCTCCTGGCTGGGTAAACTCGAGTGACCTTCTCTAATGAGGGCCGGAGAGGAGGAGGATGGGCGGGAGGGGGAGGAAGAGGAGAAGGAGGAGAAGGAAGAGGAAGAAGAGAAGAGGAGGAAGAAAAGGAGGAAGAAAAGGAGGGGGAGGAGGGGGAGGAAGAGGAGAAGGAGGAAGAGGAAGAGGAAGAAGAGAAGAAGAGGAAGAAGAGGAGGAAGAGAAGAAAGAAGAGGAGGAAGAAAAGGAGGGGGGGAGGAGGGGGAGGAAAAGGAGGAGGAAGAAAAGGAGGAGGAAGAAGAGAAGGAAGAGGAGGAAGAAGAGGAGGAAGAGGAGGAAGAAAAGGAGGAGGAAGAGGAGGAGGAAGAAGAGGAGGAGGAGGAGGAAGAGGAGGAGGGTAAAATTCTATTTTCTGGCAGAAAAATTGTAAGAGATTGAATTGGATGGAAATCGGGTTGTTTATGTGGCTCAGTTTTCTGCCTTAGCCATTTCAGATAGCCCTCGACTTATGACCAAATTCAGGAGCAGAATTTCCGATGCTAAGCGAGGTGATTGTTAACTGAGTGAACCCTGATTTTACCGACTTAATTGGCCACGTTTGTTAAGCGGACCGTGGCGGTTCTTAAAGTGAATGACTCCGTTGCGAAGAGAATCTTGACAGAAACTGGCTGGGAAGATCACAAATGATGGCTAAGTCACCAAGGAGAGGACAGCTGTCATAAATATACATGTAAATAAATATACACATACATGTAAATATACATGTAAGTAAGATGTACATGCCAGTTGTCAAATGCCTGACTTTGCAACGATGGCATGCATGAAAAATGGGGACAAGTCATTTTTTTCAGTGCCGTTGTAAACTTGCACGGTTGGTGAGTTATAGGATGGCCATACAGGTGGTCCTTGAGTTACGACCACAATGGAGCCCAAAATTCAGGCCGCTAAGTGAAAAATCCTGTTAAGTAAGCTTTGTTCCGTTTTATGACTTTTCTGGCCACGGTTGTTAAGCAAATCGTTGCAAATTGTTAAGCAAGTAACAGGTTGTTAAGTGAATCTAGTTTCCCCATTGCTTGTCAGAAGGTCGCAAAAGGGGATCCTGTGACCCTGGGACACTGCAGCTGTCATAAATATGAGCCAGTGGCCACGTGTCTGAATTTTGACCCTACGGATGCTGCAAAGGTCATAAGTGTGAAAAACGATCGTAAGTCACACTTTTTTCAGAGCTGTTGTAACTTTGAACCGTCACTAAGTGAACTGTTGAGGACTCCCTCTACAAATTAGCTGGCAAATGCCTTCCCCAAGGTTATTTTCCTTATATTCTTCCATGTGGCTTATAGATCTGAAATTTTCTGGAAAATTCCCATACAAAGACTCACCAGATTTGCTTCTATAAACAAGTTTTCATTGGTTTTGGGAGGTGCAAAATAGAATTCAGAATATCAGAGCTTGGAGGTCTTCTAGTCCAACCCCTGCTCAAGCAGGAAAACCTATACCATTCTGGATGAATGAATCTTTATTTTATTTGTTGACTCGTAGGGTATCCGTGCTTCGCTACGAAACTGTGTGATCGGGCAAGTTTTGGGGGAGGAAAATAAGGAGAAAAAAATTCTGCCTCTGCCTACCAGCATCTATCGGTATTCATCTGGCTAGTGTCCTGTCAGTCTGTGAGAGAGATGAGGGTTGTTTGGAAACTGAAACAGTATTTGCTATGTGAGCAAGAAGGAGACAGCAAGGAGCCTGGGTGTGGCTTAGCTCAACTGCAGTTGGAACAGATTTATTTTCAGGTGGGGTGGGGGAGTAGAGCTCCTTAGCATCAGAGCATGTTAATAATAATATAGGAAATACTAATGTTCTGATGGTCATTTTGAAAAATGCTTTCTTAGTGAGCACCTAAAAGCCAAGAGGAACATATACGCCAAATTTTCAAGTTTGTAGGCTTTACGGTTCTGGAGATTTTGTGATGATGCGTGAATGTTTATATATATATAGATTAGCCCTTGGGCCACATCAAAGTGCAGAATTCCAGAAACAAATGATTGTTTGATAATTTGATAAAAGCAATTTAAAATGGAATTGGAATAAAATATGCATGAATGGCTATCCAGTCTCTTCTTAAAACTCTCCAGTGTTGGAGCACCCACAACTTCCAGAGGCCGGCCGTTCCCCTGGAAAGGTACGTAGAATAAAACAGGTTAAGGATGCTACGAATGGCTCAATGGTTCTCTTTTCTTCCAGTTCTGTGATCCCCAAATGGGTCCATGCCGTTATTCGACGTATCGCAGAAGACCTAGAAGACTTCATCCCTCAGCCTTACGAAGGAGAGATTCGGGGACTTGCCCAACACTTCGGGGTTAACGTCGGCGACGGGCTCCTGCTGAACCTGGCCTACGAATTCACTGCGTGAGTTTTGCGATGCAAATTTCATGGGTCTGAGGAACAGAGGGGGGTGGGGAAATCTACCATGGCAAAGATCAGGAAAGGGAAGAAAGCTGTCTTCTCCTTAGCTTTCCAAGTAACAAACCCAACACAATCAAAACTCCGAGGCCTGGAGTTTCCTCAAAGTTTTCCCCACCTGAATCAAACCCTAAAGTTCTTGCCCCCGGGCCACCCGTCCATCATATGGTCCAATCAGGTCACAGTCCCAACTCCCGGTGGCTTCAGTCCAGTGGTGGTATGCTGCCGGTTTATACCGGTTCTACTGATCCGGTAGCGCCGGTCAGCACCACCCGCCCCTGTTCTTTCCTGTTCTATATTTCCTCTGTTTGTAGCTCAGCTGATAGGCTCAGCAGAGCGGATTCCCACGCCTCAGCTGTTTTACTCACCAACGCTGACAGAAAGGCAAGTTTTCATGCTTAAAATTGCCCATTTTACAACGCTCCGTGCGCGCGCGCACAGAACCGGTAGCAAATTTTTTGAATTCCACCACTGCTTCAGTCCATGCCTTCCCGGCACCTGGTGAGAGCGTCCTTGGTTCCCAGGAGAAATAATTTTATGTTGGCTACACATCCCCAAGCTATCTCTATCGTCTCGCCTCCTGTTCCCACAGCTCCAACAGGCCTTGCTGTGGCAGCCCTGAAGATGCTCCCAAAATGGCTTCAGGGCTGACAAACATTTTGCAAGGAAAAAGATAGGTTGTGTAGCTGGCACAAAGGAAGAGTCAGCTTCTAAATTAGCTTTCTCCTTCCTCTTAAAAAACAAACAAACGTGTGGACGCTAACAATACATCGATGGGACAGTGTCATCTGATGAGATCCAGGACTTTCTGCTGTGCCTGGAACGGGGAAGATTTAGGTCAGCCCTAAAGTTCTTTTAAAACTTGGATTTTGGGGGGCTTAGGGTGGTTGGTAAACCATCCAATAGGAATGTGAATGTTTTATTTCCTTCTAAATGGGCATCATTCTTTTTCTTTGTTATATTGTGCTAGGTCAGGGGTGTCAAATTCCAATTCATTGAGGGCCGCATCAGGGCTGTGATTGACCTCAGGGCATCGGGTGGGCGTGGCTGACTGGGTGGGTGTGGCCAATGAGATGGGCATGTCCAGCTTGTCACCACTCATTGGGCGTGGCTGACTGGATGGGCATGGCTGACTGGGTGGGCGTGGTCAGCTTGATGCCACTCCCCAAACTGCTGGCATGTTTCCTCTTCGCATTGGAAAGACTGGGTCGAAGCAATACTGACTGGCTCCTTACATTTTCCAGGATGACCCCACGTGTTGGATCTGACTGTCAGGATTCCGGCAGTTACCCCAATTAAATCATGAGCCTTGAGCCAAACTTCCAAAGCTTAAAAAGGGTTTACTGGGAGTTAAACTGTCCAGCACCTCCTGGGTGTAACCAACTCTGAGGCACATAATTCATTGTCACCCTTGACACCTTTGACTTGACCACCCAGGGGGTGATTTTCCCCCACCCCCTGGATGTCTCATAATTCATATTCTCCAATGGGACACATCCATAGCCAAGAGTCATCAATCATGTTCTCCACTTAAAATTTTGCCCAGCAGAAACTTCAGTCACCTAGTTACTATCTTTGAAAAACTATTTATGGAATGCACTTTCAGTTTGCAAGCTGCCACACTGCTCCCCCCTCCCTTTCTGTTGGCAACTCTAAAAAGACCATAGAAATATTTTATGAGTTGACACTGACCACATCCAGACCTTGTGTTTGACACCCCTGTGCTAGGTTTTTTTTCTGTCTCATATGCTTTCCAGAGTCTAAATCCAAAGGGTGTCCAACCTTAGCAACTTTAAGAGTGGTGGACTTCAACTCCCAGAATTCCCCATCAGCATGGCTGGCTGAGGAATTCTGGGAGTTGAAGTCCACCACCCTTAAAGTTGCCAAGGTTGGACACCCCTGGTTTAATCAGACCACTTATTTAAAATTAGGTCAGCATAAGAAGACAGACCAGAAATAAATGCGATATGGGTTAGGACTGCTTTTATTACAAGAGCTGTATTTAATTATTCATTCGTTCAGTTTATTTGCCATTTATCTCTCTACGGGGCGACACTAGGATTACATGATCCTGAGGTACCACAACCATCATAAATACTTGCAGTTACCAAGTGCCCAAATTTTGATCATATAACCATGCTGCAACGGTCATAAGTGTGAAAAACGGACGTAAGCCACATTTTTCAGTGCTGTTGTAACTTTAACGGTCATTAAACAAGTGGCTGCCAATGAAATTCAATCCTAGATTTTGCATCACTTTAATTAGTCCCGCAGGGGACGTGGCGGCTCAGTGCCTAAGACGCTGAGCTTGTCGATCAGAAAAGTCAGCAATTCGGTGGTTCGAATCCCTAGTGCCACGGAACGGACTGAGCTCCCATTACTCTTCCGAACTTCTTCCAGCCTAGTAATTCGAAAGCATGTAAAAAAATTACAAGTAGAAAAATAGGGGCCTCTTTGGTGGGAAGGGAACAGCCTTTCGTGCACCTTTGAAGGCATTTAGACATGCCGGCCACATGACCACGGAGACGTCTTTGGACAGCGCTGGCTCTTCGGCTTTGAAACGGAGATGAGGAACACCCCCTAGAGCCTGAAACAACTAGGACGTATGAACGAGGGAAACCTTTACCTCTAATTAGTTCTCCCCCCCGGCTGTTTCTGGTGTAAGAATATTGTGGGAATGAGTAGGCATCCCAGGAAAATGAAATTTAAATTTAAATAAGCCCCCTTGGAAAATGAATTTAGAAGTTTAGCCTTTTCTAACGAAGCTCCTGCTGTTTTTCTCTCACAGCTTCTGCACCAGTATTGTTGCTCAAGACAAGCAAGGAAATATATATCATGGTCGGAATATGGACTATGCCTTTGGAGAGTATTTACACAAGATTACTATCGATGTGGATTTTATCAAGGATGGGAAGGTACAAAGCGAGCCTGGCGGGGATTAAAAACGTTGTCGGCAGCAGCATAGGACACGGTTCCTAGTCCTTGACTTACAACCACAATTTCTGTTAGCTAAATCAAGGCGATTGTTAAGGGGAGGGGAGGTTTGCACCCCATTTTACAACTTTCTTGCCACGGTTGTTAAGAGAAACCACTGCAGTTGTTAAATGAATCACGAGGTTGTTAAGAGGATCCGGCTTCCCACATTGATGGCACTGGTCGGAAGCTGGCTAGGGATGTTCACAAGTTGAGACCCTGGGATAACAGATAATCAGAGTTGGAAGGGACCTTGTAGGTCATCTAGTCCAGGGGTCTCCAACCTTGGCCACTTGAAGACTTGTGGACTTCAACTCCCAGAGTTCCTCAGCCAGCTTTGCTTTTGAAGTCCACAAGTCTTAAAGTGGCCAAGGTTGGCTGAGGGATTCTGAGAGTTGAAGTCTACACGTCTTAAAGTGGCCAAGGTTGGAGACCCCTGATCTACTCCAACCCCCCGCCCAAGTGGGAGACCCCACACCATTTCTGACAAATAGTCCAATCTCTTCTTGAAAGTCTCAAGTGATGAAGCTCCCACAATTTCTGAAGGCAACTTCTGTTCCATGGGTTGATTGTTCTCATTGTCAGGAAATTCCTCCTTAGTTGAATCTCCCCTTGATCAGTTTCCATCCATTATTCCTTGTCTGGCCTTCAGGTGCCTTGGAGAATAGCCTGACCCCTCCTCCTCTCTGTGGCAGCCCCTCAAATATTGGAAGACTGTGATCCTGTCTCCCCTGGTCCTTCTCTTCTCTAGACTAGCCATGCCCAGTTCCTGCAACCGTTCATCGTGTGTTTTAACCTCCAGTTCCCTAATCATCTTGGTTGCTTTTCTCTGCACTCTTTCTACAGTTTCAACATCTTTTTATACTGTGTTGACCAAAACTGGATGCAGTACTCTAGGTGTGGTCTTATTAAGACTTTATAGAGTGGTATTAGTACCTCCCTTGAGACTGCAACCATCATAAATACATGCCGGTTGAAAGCGGCCAAATTTTGATCACATGACCTTGGGAATGCTGGGATGCTCATATGTGCAAGAACCAGTGGAAATTTATCTTTTTCAGCACCATTGTAATTTCAAGTGGTCACTAAATGAATGGTTGTAACTTGGGAATTACCTGTACAGGCATTTAGTAAGCCAAGCTATGTATCATCAGTAAAATCAACTTTTATTAGAAACATTTGCTTTTCAGAATCTCTCTGTCCAACCTTATAAACATAACCATCCATAAAGTTTGGTATTAAAAATAAATACCCAGTTGTTCCAATTAAAGAAAACAACAAATGAATGTGTTTCTTTTAAAAGGAAAAGGAGAGAGAGAAAAATACATAGAGGCTATGTGGAAAAGATTGCAAAGTAATTGAAAATTAGAAGAAAATACAAATTACTTCACCGGAACAAACTTCTCACTTTTATACTCTTATATCATTTTTATTTTATGTAAGACATCAAAAGCAGTTTTTTTTAAAAAAAATTGTGGTTGGATAGAAATACATTAAATAATAAATACACTCACTATTTGACTTTGGGTTAGAACAAATACAAAGATTGCTTTGCTAAAACTGTTGTGAAACTTTTATTTGCTGTATCTGGCACTTTCACAATTCTTATATTTAACTTATTATAGAATCACATTGCAGAAACTCAGAGATCCCTATAAGGATTGCAACAAAGCACTGTTATCATGTGATTTTCTGTACCTATACTATGCCACAAATAAGATGAGTCTTAAAAGTTTCCAACTTGCATTTTTGTTTTCTGTCGACTCTGCATCTGATATCTTTTGCAGTGGAATTTGAACAAGATAATTTAATAGAGGGATAGAACCAAGATCACATGACATGTTATTGCTGCTTCATTAGTAAGGCCACACTTAAGAATAAAGTGTAAGGCTACACCAACTGCATCCAGTTTTAGTCACCATATCATATTAAAAAAAAAGATGTAGAGACTCTGGAAAGAGTGCAGAAAAAAGCAACAAAGATGATTAGGGGGCTGGAGGCCAAAACATAGGAAGAATGGTTGCTGGAATTGTGTATATCTAATTCAGTGAAAACAAAAATTAGGAGCGACATGATAGCATTGTTCCAATATTTGAGGGGCTGCCACAAAGAAGTCAATCTATTCCCCAAAACTCCAAAGAAGGCAAGACAAGAAAAAAATGGATGGAAATTAATCAAGGAGAGAAGCAACCTAGAACAAATTAGAAATTTCCTAACAGTGAGGACACTCAACCAGTTGAACTGCTTGCCCCGAGAAGTTGTAAATGCTCCAACAACACTGGAGGTTTTTAAGAAGAGATTGGATAACCATTTGTTGGAAACGGTATAGGATTTTTTGCCTAAGCAGGGGGTTGGACTAGAAGACCTCCAAGGTCCCTTCCCTGGATAATGTGGCAAACAGCACACAGTAGAAAGACTGAGGGATATAAATAATAAATAATAAAAATAATAAAGGGAGATCACCTTTCTTCTGAATTGGTTTGAAGAGGAACTGAGCAAATGCAGAAATGTTGCTTCCTTAATTTTGTTCCTCTTTTTTGCTGTAGTAAACAAATTGTAATGACCTCCTTACATCCCTAAAGCATTTGAACTCTTATTCTACATTTAAGTCAAGACTGGGGTTTTTTTCATCAAATTAAATGACTCACAACTTCCCTGGCCTGTTTTGGAGAGAGTTTAAGATTGAAAACAATGTGGAATAAATACAGCTTCTCCTGTCCTTTCATTATTTCCAGGTAAAATTCCAAGGCACTACGTTCTTCGGCTATGTCGGTTTATGGACAGGACAAAGTCCACACAAGTTTTCCATCTCTGGGAATGAACGAGGTAAAGCAAATTTTATTTTTACCCACATTTTTACCTGCTAATTTGCTGACTCACTTGCCTGGTTCTGATGACTAAGACCAGTTTTGTAGCATTTGTAAAGGAATGTCTGTTAGATCAGGGGTCTCTAACCTTGGGAACTTTTAAGACTTCAACTTCAACTCCCAGAATTCCTCAGCGCAGCAAAGCTGGCTGATGAATTCTGGGAGCTGAAGTCCACAAGTCTTAAAGTTCCCACGGTTGGAGACCCCTGTGTTAGATCATTCTTCCAGAGAAGGCAGGTTGAAACTCTGGGGGGAAATTAAGAGATGCAGCACTCCTTAAAAATTCCAGAACAGAATAACAGAACGGGATTTGGGGGTACAGAATAGAATATAGAATAACAGAGTTGGAAGGGACCTTGGAGATCTTCTAGCCCAACCCCCTGCACAAGCAGGAGACCCTATACCATTTCTATCCAATCTCTTCTTAAAAACCTCCAGCGATGGGGAACCCACAACTTTTGGAGGCAGAGACATTCCACTGGTTAATTGTTCTCCCTCCCTCCCTGGAGATTCCACCATATAACATATAAATATGACCCCTGGTGGTGCAGCAATTAGAAATACAGTGTTGCGGGCTGGTCTGGAGAAATTCATTTTGATCTTCATATATATGCTCATTTAACATTCTTTTTAGTCTACTTGCTATAATAGAAGTGAATATTTTGTAATCAGTATTTAACCGTGAAATCGGTCTATGATTATGTATATATCGGGGATCCGAATCCTCCTTCGGGATCAGCGAAATCAATGCCCCCCTCCATGAGTCCGGCATCCTGGCTGCCAATAAGACATCATTAAAAAGTTCCACCATAAGAGGTCCTATTTGTTCTGCTGTTGCCTTGTACAGCTCCCCTGGAATCCCATCTGGTCCCGGGGATTTATTGTTTTTCTGGTTCTCTATTGCTGATTTCAATTCAAACCAAGTAATGTCTTTGTTTAATAATTTTTCCATTTCTTGCCCAATTGCTTTATCCTTCACTTCATCTAAATGTTTCTTATTCTGTCTTCGTTAACTTCTTCCTTTTTATATAACTCTTCAAAATACTTATGGGCAATTTCTTTTTTCTCTTCTATCTCCTGTTATATATCCCCCTCTTTTCTTTCCTTTTTTTTAGTCTATATGATAGCCATCTCCCTGGCTTATTAGCATGCTCAAAATACGTTTGTCTAGTCTAGTTTCTCCTGACCAGACAAATCAGGAACAACTTAAGAATAGTACTAGATGTCTTAGAGTTTTACGAAGCCCACCCCAAAAAACAAATTGCATTTATATTTTTAGATGCAGAGAAGGCCTTCGATAATTTAAATTGGCAATTTTTAATCCAAAAAAATTATAATATGAATTTAGGCACCAAATTTGAATATATTATAACAACCATTTATGGTACACAACAGGCTAATATTATAATAAACGGGGAATATACCCGCCCAATAAAAATAGAAAAAGGAGTCAGACAGGGCTGCCCACTCTCACCCCTGCTCTTCATATTATCATTAGAAGCATTACTAATGCGAATTAGACAGAACCCAGACATAAAAGAATTAAAGGTTAAGAAAGAAGAATATAAGTTGCAAGCATTTGCAGATGATATGATTTTTTTCATTGAGGAACCAATAGAAAGAGGACAAAAATTAATGAATGAATTAGAACAATTTGGAGCAGTAGCAGGACTTAAAATTAATAGAAAGAAAATAAAATTAATGACTAAAAATTTAACAGAAAAACAGAAAATAGAACTAGAAGAAGTTATGGGAATACAAGTGATAAAGAAAGTTAAATACTTAGGAATATGGTTGACAGCACATTGTAAGACACTTAAGGAAAATAATTATGATAAATTGATGCAACAGGTGAAGAAGGATTTAGAAACATGGGGCAAGCTGCAACTTTCATTATTAGGCAGGATCACTGCTATTAAAATGAATATTCTTCCAAAATTCCTATATATATTTCAGACGATCCCAATCAAAGTACACGAAAAAATTTTTGAAGAACTTAATAAAATAACTGTAAAATTTATCTGGCAAGGGAAAAAACCTAGAATAAATTTAAAGGCAATGCAGGATATGAAGAGCAGGGGAGGGCTGGCACTTCCAAATTGGGAGTTGTGCAGCCTCTTTAGTATGGTTGAAGGAATGGGTGAATTTAACCAATAAGAGAATATTATTCTTAGAAGGCCATGACTTGCAAAGGGGGTGGCCTGCTTTTTTATGGGATGTAGGGAAAACTAGCCAGAAATATTTTCACAGACACTTAATCAGAGACTCATTATTAACTAATTGGAAGAAAATACGGAAAAACACTATTTAAAAATACCAATTTGGATTTCAACAATGGAGGCGACGATTCACCCAAATAATCTGGATATCACTAAAATGATTAAATATAAGGATCTATTGGATACACAAGGAAATTTGAAATCGCGGCAAGAACTTCAAGAGCGGGGACTAAAAATTGATCAGTGGGCATATCTTCAAATTCAAAGTAGATATAAACAGGACAAGAAAGAATTTGGAATTAACAATAAACTCTAGCAATTAGATAAAATTTTATTAGGATCAGGCAAAAAAAATATAACAAAATTTTATAATTATTTATTAGAAGTAGAATTAGAAGAAGAAATTGTAAAAGGGAACATGATAGCCTGGAGTAGGAATATAGGATGTAGCATCACCATAACAGAATGGGAAAAGGTCTGGGGTAGAAATAATAAAATTACAAAATCGGTAGCATACAAAGAAAACGCCTACAAAATGTTTTATAGATGGCACCTTCCTCCTTCGAGATTAGCGAAGATGCACCCCAATATAAGTCCAAATTGCTGGAAATGCAAAAAAAAAGGGGGGAACCTTTTTCCATATGTGATGGTCCTGTACAGAAGCTCAAAAATATTGGCAGAAAATTAGAAATTGGCTGGAAGAAATGACAAGAGAACAGATCGAATTCAAACCAGAGTCCTTCCTGCTAGGGATCTTTGATAAATCAAAAAAAGTGAAATATATAATAAAACACATTTTGACAGCGGCCAGATTGGCTTTTGCACAATGTTGGAAGCAGCCTCGTGTTCCATCAGAGGAGATGATCATTCAAAAAATTTCAAGTTCTGCAGAAATTGACAAATTAACTTTGGCATTAAAAAATAAAGACACTTCAATATACTACAACAGCTGGAACTGCTGGTACAAATGGATAGACCAAAGATAGACTTCACACTAAAAGGCAAAAGAGGATAGGATAAATCCATAGTAGTGATACACAGATATATGTAAGGATTAGGTGTGTGTATATGGCATAAAATAAGGATAAAAAAGAGGTCTTACAAACTGTTGAAGATGGGAATGTTCTTCATTGTTTTCTATTTTTTTCTTTCTATTTTCTTCTCCCTTTCTTCTTTCTCTCTCTTTCATTTATGTATGTGTTGTTGGTTTGTTTTAATTGTAAAATCAATAAAATGTATTTTAAAAAAAAGAAATACAGTGTTGCAGGCTGACTCTGCCCACGGTCAAGAGTTCGATCCTGACCGCCTCAAGGTGGACTCAGCCTTCCATCCTTCCAAGGTGGATAAAATGAGGAGCCATCTTGTTGGAGGCAATACGCTGACTCTGTAAATAGCTTAGAGAGGGCTGCAAAGCACTATGGGGCAGTATATAACTGCTATTGCTAAATAAAGAGTGGACATTATTATTCACTTAAATGATATCAGTTCTATGGCAGCTGAGAAAGAGGAAATACGTTTCAGATCGGAGAAAAGGCTTAACCCTAAGCTGATCTAAATTGAGGTTCTGCAGACTACGCTATTGTGACTGTACAAGAAGATCTCAGTCTCTTATCCAGTGTTATGTTTTCTATACCTGCCAACAGACTTCATCACAACCATTTGATATTCCACAAATTCGTGTGGCTTTATTCTTTATTTATTATTATTTTCTAGGGCCCATTTAACTTCATTTTCCAGTACAATTTATAACCATTCAAAAACACAAGAGTACTGAAGAAAAGTTATCTTCTTATCGTTACACACACACACACACACACACATACACACACACACACACACACACACACACACACACGTCATCCTCAACTTACGGCCACAACTGAGCCCAAAATGTATGTTGCTTAGTGAGAAATTGGTGAAGTGCATTTTGCCCCATTTTACGACTTTTCTTGCCATGTTTGCTAAGTGAATCCCGGCAAATTAGCTAAATTAGTGATAGGGTTGTTCAGCGGATGTGGCTTCCCCCGCTGAACTCTGCTGGTCTGAGGTCGCAAAAGGGGATCACGTGACCCCAGGACACTGAAACCGTTATAAATATGAGTCAGTTGTCAAGCATCCGAACACGAATCACTTGATCATGGGAATGTGTTATGACCTGGGGCGCAGCACAAGCAGCTGGGAAGGACGCCAAACTCAGAGAGGAACAATAAACTAAGATATTTCCATGCTTTGTTTCCAGTACTCGCCCATACGCATTTCCGTCCTCTTATCCAGTTGTCACAGCTGCAGCCCATGAAAAGGATCAAGGCCCTCTCCTCCCCAGTAGACCACATCTCTCCCTTATCCTCTCCTCCCTGCATGCCCTAGGATGGAGAGGAGATGGACCTGGGTCCTCCTCTGACAGCTCAGCCGGCCTCTGCCCTTCCCCAGCCTCCTCCACAACCTCCGGAGCCACATTTCCACTCCCTGTCGGCTGTTCCTCCTCTCCCTCAGAGTCAGTCTCCACCAGGGGCATGACAGTCTGCTCCAATTCCAGCTTGCCTTCTTCCACAGATTCGGGCTTTGACGGGGGACATGACAGGATGCTGTAATGGTCATAAGTGTGAAAAAGGTCCCAAGTCACTTTTTTCAGCACTGTTGTAACTTTGAATGGTCACTAAATGAATCCGCACAGTCACGGGATCAAAATTTGGGTGCTGGACAAATGGCTCACTTTTACGACAGTTGTAGCATCCATGTGATGCTAATTGAGGCCTTCCCAGCTGGCTTCTAACAGGCCAAGTCAAGGAGAGAAACTGGATTTGCTTCACATTTACACAGTTCCCTTAGCAACCACAGGGATTCCTTTAACAACCATGCCAAGACGTTCGTAAAATGAGGCATGACTCCATAACCGCCAAATTCTGGGCCCTTTTGTGGTTCTAAGTGAAGGATTATCTGTAGTCTTGGCGTTAATTTAGTGATCGAATCTACATACGTATCTTTGATTTTGGGGATCGGTTTTACATTGGTAATAACTGGTTTCTCTAAGGCGTTTTTCATATTTATATTCTAAAAGCGTGTTGAGATTCTTAGTTCCCCAGGTCATGGTTTGTCCCCAGAGTGCTTTTTCAAGAGGCAACTGGACTTTCTTGTTTTTTCTTTTGAAGACATTTCACTTCTCATCCCAGAAGCTTCTTCAGCTCTGACAGGATGATGAGGAATGGGAAGATTTATATTCCTTGCATACAGCTGGTCATTTGCATCATTTTAGAGGGTTGTTGAAGCACCTGGAGGTGTCAGGATTCCAGCAACCGCAATTAAATCTCGAGCCAAACTTCCAAAATTTCAAAGGATTTATTGGGAGTTAACATGTTGGCATGACCTGGATCTAGCCGACTCTGAGACACATAATTCACTGTCACTCTTGACCCTGGTTTTTCCCCCACCCCTCTGGGTGTATCATAATTCATATTCTCCAACTAAACACATCCATAGCCAAGAGTCATCAATCATGTGGGATTCAAAAAATTTTACTACTGGTTCTGTGGGCATAACTTGGTGGGCGTGGCTTGGTGGTTGTGGCAGGGAAAGGATACTGCAAAATCCCCATTCCCTCCCTACCCCACTAGCCTGCTTTCCAGCTCTGTTCTCCTGTGCAGGGCAACCAAAGAAGACCCAGCCGATCAGCTGGGACTCAATGGGAGGCAGAGAATAGATGGGGTTGGTGGGGCCAGTCAGAGGTGGTATTTCGAACTACTCAAAATTTCCGCTACCGTTTCTTGGAACTACTCAAAATTTCCACTACCAGTTCTCCAGAACTGGTCAGAACCTTTTGAATACCACCTCTGATGTTCTCCAATTAGAGCAAGAGTCTTCAAACCTGTCAAGTTTAAGACTTGTGGACTTCAACTCCCAGAATTCCTGAGCTAACATGACTGGAGGAGGAATTATGGGAGTTGAAGTCTACAAGTCTTTAAAGCTGCCAAGTTTGGAAACAGTCTGAAAAATATGAATGAATGCACTTTCGATTCCAAAATGCTGTGCTGCTGTTTCCAACTACTTCCTCCCCACTCCGCTTTCCGTTGGCGACTATAAAACAGGCATAGAAATGTTTTTTGAGTTGACAGGAGGTTTATCTGTGTCCTCGGGGTCACCTGAGTAATGCAAGTGGTTCCTGCAGTCTGTTTATAATTTATATAAATTATGTTTATATTCTGTTTTACAGATGTTGGCTACTGGTGGGAGAATGCCATGGCAGCCTTTTTGACTCGATTCAGTCCAGCCAGCTGGCTTATCAGACGTGTATGTAACTTTTTTAAAAAAATATGTATATACATGTGGTCCTTGACTTACAACTGTAATGGAGCCCAAAATTTCTGTGGCTAAGTGAGACATTTGTGAGGTGAATTTTGCCTCATGAAATGACCTTTCTTTCCGGGGAGGCCCTGCGGGCCAGATCTAAGCACCCCGCCGGCCAGATCCAGCCGCTGGGCCTTGAGTTTGACCCCCCCCGTACTACAGTCTGGCTAACAGAATTTTATCTAAATTTGAGGATAATTCATGCAATCTTTTTTTTTTCTTTGTAGACTCTAAGCGAAGCGGAAGACTTTGAAACGGCTTTCTATATGCTCGCCAAAATACCCATTATAGCCAGTGTGTATTATATCATTGGAGGCTCGACATCCAGACAAGGGGCAGTAATTACAAGAAACAGAATAGGCCCAGTAGATGTTTGGCCTTTGGATCCTTTAAATGGGGCGTAAGTTGCATAGAATCTGAGTTTTATAAGGCAAATGGCAAGCAATTTACCAATTGGTATGGATGACGGGAGCATAATTTGTTGTTGTAAGCTGCCTTAGTGATCCCATGGTCGGATAAGTGGCAAATAAATTTAGCAAATATGTAACAGCTCCTTTATGGGAGTGTGTGGGGGGTATGATGGCTCAGTGGTTAAAGATGCTGAGCTTGTCAACTGGAAAGCTGACAGTCCAGGTTTGAGACCCAAGCGCCACGTGATGGGATGAACTCCCGTTCCTTGCCTCAGCTCCTGCCCACCTAGTTGTCCGAAAGCAGGCAAATGTGAGTAGATAAATAGGTACCACTTTGGTGGGAAGGTACGACTGTTCACTGCACCTTGGCCTATAGTCATTCTGGCTGCATGGCCACGGACAGATGTCTTTGGACAATTATGGCTCTCTCGGCTAAGAAACGGAGATGAACCCCACCCGCCAGAATCAGACACGAAACCTTTCAGTTTACCTTTAAATGCTCCTTTATGACTTTTAACTGGGATTTGTAGCAAAATAGCACAGACTGGTCCTGTGTTTACTTAATGATACAAAACAAAAATTGAATAGTAAGAAAGTGGGAGATGGTGAGTTCTAGTCTCTCCATAGGCGTTAAAGGGTCCTGGGTGGTTTGGGGCCAATCACCAGGAGACGGTGAGTTCTAATCCCACCTTAGCCGTGAATGCCGCCTGGATGACTTTGGACCAATCACTAGGAGACAGTGAGTTCTAGTCCCACCTTAGGTGTGAAAGCCAGCTCAGTGACTTTGAGCCAATCACCAGGAGACAGTGAGTTCTAGTCCCACCTTAGGCGTGAAAGACAGCTAGGAGATTTTGGGCCAATCCCTAGGAAACGGTGAGTTCTAGGCCCACCTTAGCTGTGAATGCCATCTGGGTGACTTTGGGCCAATCCCCATGATCCCGTGAGGTCTACTCCCACCTTAGCCACGAAACACCTGTCACTCTCTCTCAGCCCAACCCACCTCACAGGGCTGTTGTTGTGGGGAAAACCGAAGGGAGGTGTGCTAGATACGAGTTATTTGTAAAAACAATAAAGGTGGAACACAAACAAATAAATGTTCTAAGATGGCAGCTTTTAAATATATTTTCTGTTTGAAAGGTGGTACCGAGTGGAGACCAACTATGACCACTGGACCAACCCACCACCTTATGATGATAGAAGGTATGTTTTTCTGGAAAGGTGCCCCTATCAAGGTGTGTGGGGGGGTTGTAGAAATAAAAACAGTGTCACAATGTAACCCTCTTAGGCCTGAAATCTGCTGTGCTGGGGTAAATATAATGGCTAGAAAAAATAAAATAAAATAAAAAAGTTTAGGATCAAGCAGGGTTTTGGTGAAGAGGACATAGCCAGGGTGGACTGCTACGGGTTCGCACGTGTTCGGGAGATTCTCTAGCTAAGATTCTGCACAGTTTGGTGAACCAGTAAATCCCATCCCTGGCTGGCCCTGCCCACACCACCCTGCCCCTCCCAGGAGTCCCCACGTGGCCCGTTTTGGATCCCAGGTAAGGGCAGGACCTGCCCGGAGGCTTGGGGAGGGTGAAAAACAGGCCTCCCGGAGGTTCCGGAAGCCCAGAAATGGGCCCATTTCCAGCCTCTGGAGGGCCTCTGGAGCCCGAGGGAGGCCATTTTTGTCCTCCCAGAGATTCGAGAAAAGCCTCCGGAGCCTGGGAGGTCAAAAAACAGGCCTCCTGGAAGTTCTGGTAGGCCAGAAATGGGCCCGTTTCCAGACTTCGGAGTCCTCCGGAACCCGGGGGGAGGCTGTTTTCACCTTCCTGGAGGTTCAAGGAAAGCCTCCGGAGCCCGGGGAGGGTGAAAATGTCCGCCCCCCCCCCATGGTGCAGGAGGCTGACTAGGCCATACCCACCATGGCCACACCCACCCAGCAACCAGGCAGAGAACCACCCAGCTGAAACTTTTGAAGCCCACCCCTGGACATAGCTGCTTTTAATGTCACGAGTAGAATCAGAGAATCCAGGCGAGAAACTAGGAGACTGTAAATTCTAGTTCTCTTAAGCATGGAACCAAGTGGGTGGCCTTGCGCCAGTCCCTCACTCTCAACCTTAGGAAGAATGCAACGGCAAGACACTTCTGAAAAACTTGGCCAAAAAGACCTTCAGGGATTTGTCCTGGTATAAGCAGTCCTCGATTTATGACCTCAATGGAACCCAACATTTCTGTTGCTAAGCGAGACAGTCGTGAAGTGAGTTTTGCTCCTTTTTATGATTTCTCTTGCCACAGTTGTTAACGTAGTAGCACGGTTACTAGTCTGGCTTCCACATTGATTTTGCTTGTTCAGAAGGTCACAAAAGGAGATCACATGATCCCGGGATACTGCATCTGTCATAAATACAAGTCAGCTGCCAAGCATCCGAATTTTGATCATGTGCCCATGGGGATGCTGCAACGGTCGTTAAGTGTGGAAAACGTTCATAAGTCGCTTTTTTTCAGTGCCGTGGTAACTTCGAACGGTCGCTAAATAAATTGTTGTAAGTCGAGGACAAACTGTAGTGGACAGGAGTCAAGACTGACTCAAGGGTACACCCGTACGCACCCCCACAAAAGTATAATGAGCTCCACAGGATGTTTTAAAACGTATGTGTGAATCTGGAGGTTCATACATCAGTTTTAATCTACAGTGATAAGATCAGGGGTGAGCTACTACCAGTTTGCCCCGGTTCAGGCAAACCCGTAGCTAACCGGTAGCTAATTTTATGGCCAGTTCGGCAAACCAGTGGTTCCGACAACTGGCTGGCCCCGCCCCGCCTATCCCTCCCCTCTCAGGAATCTCCACGCGGATCCCAGGTAAATGTAGGGCTCGCGCAGAGGCTCAAGGATGGTGAAAAATGGGCTCCTGGAACTTAGGGAAGGCCGGAAATGGGCCCATTTCCGGCCTCCAAGAGGGCCTTGGGATTTTCACCCTCCCGGAGGCTCAGTGAAAGCTTCCGGAACCCAGGGAGGGGGAAAATGCGCCCCCCCCCCCCATGATGCAGGAGGCCGGCTAGGCCACGCCCACTTTGGCCACGCCCACCCAGCAACTGGGCAGTCTAAAGAAATCTTGATATCTCTCCCAGTATGGATTTAGCTTTGGTTCTGGGTAAACCATAAAAAGCATTCAGTGATTTTTCGCATGAATAGTTTTGATAACATATCATTTTTATTTTCTAAAATGCAAAACTCAAACCAAAATATAGTTTTTCTAAAGAGAAGAAAGGGGGGAAATTCTTGAGAGAGAAGTATTTTTGGAAGCCCGTGTAGGAAGTAAAGAACTGTATTTTCTATAACTGGGAAACATGGATGGGGTGTGGAAGGGAAAATATGTGGACTTCTACCTACAGTATGAAATAATTCAGCTCTGTAAAATCTTGGTGTACACAGCAATGGACGCAACTTTTTAAAATCCAGGTTTGCACACTCTTGACTTGTGAAATCGGTTATATTGGTCCACTAATATTTTCTTTTTTTTGTTCTGCAGGACTCCAGCTATTAAAGCACTAAATGCGACAGGACAGGAACATATCGATCTAAATTCCCTCTTTAAGGCAAGTTTAAATCATGCTCCTTTTTTCTCTTGTCAATGAAGGAAGCTGGATTCGCTTAATGGCCATATGATTCACTTAACAACTTCAGTGATTTGCTTAATAACCGTGAAAAAAATCAATTTTCCTTTTTATAATTTTATAATTTTTAGAATTATAAATCCCTCTCCCACCTGCAAATTTAAATATCAAGCTTTCAAATTTTTTACTTATAAAAAGCCATCGTAGGACAAGATAGATTTTAAAAACTTAATTATTGCTCTTAGCCATGGTACACCTTTAATTTACAATGTCACAAGATACCCCTACAATACATGAAAGCATTACTATCCCAATGGACCTTTTCTTCATTTGAAGTTTCACACTTATTGCAGCTAACTAGATGAATGAGTGAGTGAGTGAGTGAGTGAGTGAGTGAGTGAGTTGGAAGGGACCTTGGAGGTCTTCTAGTCCAACCCCCTACTTAGGCAAGAAACCCTATACACAATTGTTCTCACTGTTAGGAAGTTTTCCCTTAATTTCCGATTACTTCTCTCCTCCTCTTCCTTCTGAAGGCAAACCAGCCAGCAAGCCACGATACGAACACCCAGAAGCAAATGCAGAGAGAGGGAGAAAGAGAGACAAAGACAGAGAGAGACAGAGAGAGAGAGAGAGACAGAGACAGAGACAGACAGAGAGAGAGAGACACACACAGAGAGAGACAGAGAGAGAAAGAGAGACAGATACACACAGAGAGAGAGAGACAGAGGGAGGGAGAGACAGAGACAGAGAGACAGAAAGACAGACAGAGAGAGAA